GCCGCAAGCGCCGATTCCAGCTCCTCTGCAAGCCTGGTGGAGTCCTTGGTGTATCTCTGGCTTTCCGAGATAAACGCTTTCTTCATATCCTCCACGTACTTCGTCCATTTCTTGTCTTTCTCGTCTTTTTGCTTCATGAGGTTCCTCACTCGCTGCTCTGCACGCCGCGTGTAATTGAGGAGGTCTTGCATCCCGGGGACAAGCGAGTCGCTGTCCTCTGCCGCAGCTCTGTCTGCCGCTGTCTTTCCCTTTCCCTTGGCACCTCTCTCGTGGCTGGTGCCCGTGTTGGCATCGTAGTGGGGAAAGGCCGAACCTCCTTGCTGTCCTTGGCCCCGTCGGGACCAGGATCCACGCCACAAGTGCGATGAGGGCGAGGCGGGCCACTCTGGTTGCCATGCTTGGTTGTTTCTGCCTCCTCTTCCCATACCAGGAGTATGGGAGTGATGGGACAGGAGCTCCAACAACCGACGGCTGGACACTGTCTGACCAAGCCTCAGCTTGGAGCGCGTACGCGATCGCGCTTTCCTCCGCCGGCGATGCCAGCTAGGGGATCCAGGGTGCGGAATGGCGTCGCCGACCCTGTATGACGTGCGGTATTCGCACTGGGGCAAAACAGTGTTCCGGTCCTTCCCGGCGATCTGAGCCCTCATCATCATATATATATATATATATACAACGACAGCTACAGCTACATGATAGATGCAACAAGAGCTGGATCCGCAACATGTGAAGCACAAGACTGATACGACAGCGGCAGCAGAGACGAAATCAGGGACAGCTGCTGCAGACATTTCTGCTCAAGTCCCTTTTCCAACAACCCTAAAAACCCTGTACCCTAAACCCTGAACCCTGAACCCTGAACCCTGAACCCTAAACCCTGAACCCTAAACCCTAAACCCTGAACCCTGAACCCTAAACCCTAAACCCAATCCCGCTTCAAAGATCCGAGGGTCATCAAATCAGGAGCTGCGCTCTGTGTGGCCTCTCGGGAAAGAAGTGGAGGGAAATGTGCCGGGTTACCCATAGGCCCCATAGTAGTTCCTTCTTGGGGTTTAGGGTTTAGGGTTTTGGGGTTCATTTTTAGAATCCTATTAGGTAATCCCAAAAAGGAACTACTATGGGGCCTATGGCTATTGGCATGCTGCAAGATTTGTAGCATTTAGCAGTTTGCATAAGAGGAAAGACTTTGTGATTTCATTCGGAGTTCATTCGGAGTGGTGCATTGCTCGATTTCACAGCATAGGGGCTTCACAGTTTTGTGTGTCACGGTCCCGTCTCGTGGGTTCCGACGGTAGGTCAGGAAGTGGGGGTCTAGATGCTCGGGAGCATCAGGGGATACTTAGGACCACAAGTTCAAAGGCTTTACCTCTAAACCCCGGAACTCTAAACCCCACAACACTGAACCCCATATCTCTTAGACCTTTGGTTTGCACAACCTGGCCCGGGCAAGCTGGAATGCATTATCTGGCTTTCCCCGTACCCTTTCTAAAGCACCCGCGCACCAGAGCAACGCAGCCCGAAAGGGGTCAAACATTCCAGAATAATCTCTTGTGCGAATGTGCGCGTGGCTTATAGGAGCGTGTACATATGCACCCACCCACACACACACACACACACGCACGCACGTGCATGTGCATGTACTGCATATACCAGTCATGGCCATCTATATTACAGTTTGCATTGTACTGCCATGATACTTCATGATAACTGACGCACTTCCGAGGAATTGAGGCTTTGATTTGGTCTTCAGTGCGACCGTCTGGGCAAGTCGAGTCGACGTTGGGGTCTGATCAAAGGGAATCTTCGGGGTCCTTACATTGAAACTACTGCTATCTAGGGTCCATATTGGGGGCCCTTATTTCTAAAGCTCATGAAGCTCATGGTGTGCTTCTTTGGGCACTTTTTTATGTTCTACGGAAACTGGCCGTAAACACTATATAACTATATATGACTAAGCTGACAGCTTCAAGCCTCAAAATACCCTGGTCCGAGCACGACCACCCTAAACCCTAATCCGAGGAACAGAATCACTGAAACAATAGGTTCAATCAACTTTGTACTTTAAAGGACAAGCCTGGAAAAGCTTCCCGGAGTTAAACCCCAAGTGCCTGCTCGCAATCTGGTACTCGCCGAAGAACGGGTACTGGGACAGGATTAGCATTGCAGCTTCTCGCGCTTACCTTTAGCGCCGAAACCTATATTGTGGTGCCCTGATACACACCCTTACCCAAAGGGTCCTAGGTCCTGTTATGGGGGATACTTTCTGAAAACAGAATAAGGATTCCTAATATAAAAAAACCCCTACATTCCACGATATAGGTACATTGGACCCTAAACTCTAAACCCTAAACCCTAAACCCTAAACTCTAAACCCTAAACCCTAAAACCTAAACCCTAAACCCTAAACCCTAAGTTTCGGGGCCTTGAAAGGCTTAGGTCAACTTTAGGACGTTCGGGGTCGGGGACGCGGGGTGGGTCGTACCGTCCCCAAAGGGCAAGGCGGACCTCACGAGGATACGTAGATCTTGGGAGTTTCCGAAAATAAGGGGGTTCCTTATTCTGGGCTCCTTACAACGAGGATCCTAGCATTTAGGGTACTATATTAGGGTCCCCTATTTTCGGAAGCCCCTATTTATATCAAAACACAGCACGCAAAGATGTGACTGCGAACAGATACACATGTGACTGCAAATCTGTCTGCATGGCTGCCTAACTTATGTAAGTGCGTGCGCGTGCATGTGGACAGGTCTATCGGTCTGTCTCTGTCTGTCTGCCAGCCACACCCTGCAATGGCTTACATGATCTAGAGGTTCGGGCGAAGGGTAACGGTGACAGCAAGCACTCAGTCCTCCCGTAGGCACGAAAGACCCACAACGGCTCAACCCTTGTTGCCCACATAGCAGGCACTTCGAGGCTTCCACATTACTTTGGACCCTTTAGGGCACTGCTTAAATGAATCCAGCAAAACACCACAGACCCGACAAACGTGCAACCCAGACATCGACCCCGGAGGACACCAAGAACCCTGTCAGCAGCTGGACCCAACACCAACACTCTACATCTCGAGCCCCGCGAAAGCCTAATCAAAACTCCATCCGGGAAGCCCGTCATCCGCGAAAGGTTCGGCAGGCTTTTACACGCTAAGTTCAGGGACAAAAAGTTCAACCTCGACTGAACCCTGACTGCATCTACAGAAATTGCAGAGGAACACGCCCAGGATCCAAAATTGAAGCCTCAACTCTTGCATCGCTGTCTTCCAGCCGGATTATTTATAAGTATTACTGGTATTACAATTCTGAATATCGTTAGTTTGTCACTCTTCGTAGTATTAACAGTGTTAGTATAGTATTATTATTATTAGTAGTAGTAGTAGTAGCCCTAAACCCAAAATCCTAAACCCTAAAACCTAAACCCTAACCGAAATAGGGCAAGCCTTCTCTCCGACGTCCCTTCGGCTCAAAGGAGACAGCCCGGCGGCTCGTGCCATAACCTGGGGGTCTCCGCTTTGCCAGGGCGCTCCCTGTACCCTTAAGTTAGGTGTATAGGGTATAGGGTTTAGGATATAGGGTATAGGGTCTATATAGGGTTTAGGGTATAGTGTTCAGGGTGTAGGGTATAGGGTTGAGGGTATGGGGTGCTTCACTCGTGGGTGTTTCGGGTCTACTGGGAGGGTCAAAGTCTATTTGATCATGTTTGGGACTTGTGGTGCCGGGATCGGGGACAAAGTCAACAGACCCCTGTGGGATGTGGGGCCTTCGTTTCCAAATGAGACTTCAGGGACCATATAGGGACCGTTGAAGTAAACCTTTAGTCTTGATATCTCGGGGCTTCTGGCATTCAATGAAGTGGGGAACGTGTACACGTATCCAGTTTGTGCAAAGACCTCAAACTCAAGCATGTCAAGACAGGGACGTTTGCTCGATGTCTGCTGGAACTGGTGTAATTTAGGGGCCTAATTAATTAGAACAGAGTTTTGGGGCCCATTATACTGTTATTATACTTATAATAAGGACCCCCAAAAAAAAGTGTGGGTAGTTTTTTAGGCCCCTATAGGCATGTTTGGGGTTTTTCATTCGCAAGCTGCATCTTCGGCCCGCGCCCTGACAAGCAAAAGCTCCGGTTGTTCACCTCCTCTGGAATCCTGCTTCCCCGATCTCTGGATGCACATATAAGCTCATAATTACCCAAAGGCCTCATAGTAGTTCCTTTTTGCGGCTTATATTTATAGGATCCGAGTAGGTAATCCCAAAAAGGAACTACTATGGGGCCTATGGGTAAGCAAGTATATACAACAGTGCAATCGCAACTCCCGTTATGTCAGGAGCAAGATATGGCGTCCCGGTCCCGAGCATGTCCGGCATGTTGGCAGCCGTCTTCCAAGGTACAGCCGCTTCGACGGGAAGATCTTGCCACAGGATCCGCACAAATTTAAAGGCCAACCTTGCGTCGGTTTCTCGATGATCTCCGGGGACGGTGGCTTCACTCCGCCATCCGATTTGTGCAAACAAGACCAACACAAAGCTGTGGCTTTGCTCAGTGGGATGTCCGAAGGGAACCTGTCACCGCAACCGGTGCAGTCGTACTCTTGCCACTTGCCACCCTCTGGATATCCATGTTGTGCGGCCGCTACCAGCCAGGACACAGTATCAGGAAGCTCCAAATCTGGGTACATGCGGATGAAGTGGAAAGCTCGTCGAATTATGTGCGCACGAACTTCCTCGTCCACAAATAGATTCAGCAGATGCAACACGCGGCTTCTGCGAACAAGATTCCGCATTTCGTGGTCCCAGGAAGACTTGCACACCTGAAGCAACTGCAAGCAAAGCTTCATCCAGCGTTTGATCTTCCAAGCTTCGACAGTTCCACTATGCAGCCGCACTTCTATGGTGTGATATGGGCGGTGGTCGTCGGGAAAGTTAACTGTGTGATACTTACCTCCTGGGTTGAGCAACTCTTTCAATTCCGGTGCCACGACATTCTCATTGGGGTGCCATAGCCGCCTAGCATCCTTTGCGCACAGAACAGGTGCAACCTGCTGGCAATATTGATTGTCCCGGCGCGATGGAGGAACAACTGCAAGTAGCAATGGCTCGAGACGAACCCACAGTCGTGCAAAGTTCACAAGAGTCACATGAGTCATTCTTGCCCGGGACAGCTGCGTCATGTCCATGTGAACATGGAGGCCGCACGACTTCGTAATTCTGGCATCCAGGTTACGCAGAGCATCGGTGACGGCGTCAATATCGCTTTCCAGATCCTGAAAAGCCTCCGCACGTGAGGAAAGTTCCAGTGACACCATGTCCTCTATATCATCCAGACTCGAATCGCGCTGCACGACCCAGTACCGCATGCACACCTTGTCTTTTCGATCAATGTAATGGCTAATGCGTCCGTCTGGCCTGTAAACCTTCCTCCGGTCTCCACCGCAGCGCTTCGCAAGGTACAAACTACTTCGTTTCGCAAGCTTTTTGGCAGCACGCTCAGCATTGGAAATTGGCATGTGCATCTCGAGCTCAAGCCCCACACGATGCTGCGCCCAAGCAGAGCGCAGCAAACCACGCAGCATTGCACAAGCTCAACAAATCGCTCACTGGCCTTGGAGTGTGCTGTAAAGCCCCCCGACAGGAGCTTTCGGAGCCGGCTCAGGCCGAACTTGCCGGAGCAAGGCCACTTGCAGCTTGCAAGGAGCCAGATGCAGCCGTCATGAATCCAACTTCCACCAAATGCTAGGTCAGTAGACTCCATACACTTTCGGCATTAAGGTTCGTAGAAATTAAGTGGTGTCATTCAGAAATAGCGTGTCCAAGGCTCCCAAACAAAGCTGACCTGCATCCAAGCTACCGGGCAGGCATGCGCGCCCTGGAAGCAGGCAGTGATTTGAGAGGATTCAGGTGGATCCTTGGGTTTTGGGATTTCGGATGGGTCTGGTCTTGCTTTGGAAGCTTATGCTGACACGGAGACTACCAGAACGAGAGCGGTGAGGTCGACGACCACACACAAATCTTGACATTGATCAACAGGACTCGGCGTGGTAAGGCGACTATTCCCCCACAACACAAGGAACCCCCAAAATAGTATAGGTAATCATTTAGGCCCCTGTATTA